GGCCGAGGCCGCGAAGAAGGCCGAGGAGGACCAGAAGAAGGCGGAGGCCGCGGCCGCGAAGAAGGCGGAGGAGGACAAGAAGAAGGCGGAGGCCGAGGCCGCGAAGAAGGCCGAGGAGGACCAGAAGAAGGCGGAGGCCGCGGCCGCGAAGAAGGCGGAGGAGGACAAGAAGAAGGCGGAGGCCGAGGCCGCGAAGAAGGCCGAGGAGGACCAGAAGAAGGCGGAGGCCGCGGCCGCGAAGAAGGCGGAGGAGGACAAGAAGAAGGCGGAGGCCGAGGCCGCGAAGAAGGCGGAGGAGGACCAGAAGAAGGCGGAGGCCGAGGCCGCGAAGAAGGCCGAGGAGGACAAGGAAGAAGGCGGAGGCCGAGGCCGCGAAGGCGGTGGAGGACAAGGAGCAGGCGGAGGCAGCCACGGGAAAAACAAGATGGATTAGAAGGCGGAGACTGCGGCCGAGATCCAGAAGGCCGCAGTCTCTGAGTAACCGACGCCGCGCAGCATGAAGAAGGAAAAGTCGGGGGTGCGCAGGGGTAAACCTCACACCTTAAACCCTCCAATCCCCAAACCCATTTAAACTTGAACCTGACAGGCAGGGTTATATGATGTGATGCAGACTTAAATTTGCAGTAATTCCTGTGGAGTGATGTCTTGCTTTTGCGGGGTGCAGGAGCTTGTAGCCTCACGCCTTAAACCCTCCTCTCAGTCCAAAACGCTATAGATGTGCTCCTAACTCCAAACCTTTGTCTTCTTCCGCCTCAAACCTGACACCTCAATAAGCCTATATTCTCAGCCCAATTCTTCGGGAACCACCCAAAGCCTGTGCGGCCTTTCGCTTCCAGACCTTGGTGACCTCCTCCGAAACCCATGCAACTTCTGACGGGAGGACGGGCCCCGGTGGCAGCGGCCTTCCAAGCCAGGCATGGTCCCTAACCGTTTACCTTGCCCAGACATATAATAAGAAGGGGGAGACATATGCCTGCGAATATGAGTAATGACACATATGAATGATCAGGTTTACTTATTCATAAGAGCATACATTATATGTATATGCATACATACATACATACATACATACATACATACATACATACATACATACATACATACATACATTCTTTATTGTAAGGGCTTTACCTCAACGATGAAAAAACTATAAAGTAAATGCGAGGCGAACTTTAAGCCTTTCATTCTAAGGTAGAATACTGAATGTAGCTTTACCTTCAGCATTTCTTCACTTAGAGGCGAGAAATTCATTCTTCTTGGTGGTTCTGCACAGTGACCTGACATCTCTCAGGCCACGGCCCGGGTTGTGCTTTGTGCCGGAGCCCAAGCCAACTCAGCATGTTTCACTGTCTCCCTGCGCCTGGCCATGCAACATGTTTCAGTTCTCGGCCTTCCTTGAATGGGTCAAGCAGTAGTACACTACAATTTCTCTCTGTGCTCCATTCCAAGCAGCGCATTTGCATGTTACACTGCTTCACCTTTCTTCTTACTTGTGCCCAGATAGTTGCATCAGATCTATCTTGCCAGTCCATGCACAGTTTTACTACTACACTGAGAAAGGCTTGCCGCCATAGTTTCACGTTCGTGCTCCGGTTGTCTCCCTCGCATTCTCCTCGCTGTGCTCCAGGGCTTCATCGGCAAATGACAAAGGCTGCCACTGTGAAGCGGGAACTGCCAGCTTCCAAGGCTGCCATGGTGAAACGGGAGGTGCCAGCTTCGAAGGGGAAGACTGAGCAGGCATTCCAGTTGGTGGTGGCGTCCAGGGAGAAGGAAGTGCAGAAGCTCCTCATCATTGACGTCGAGGCGGAGGCCAAGAGGGCGGCCAGAAGGCGTTACGAGACCAACCGCAAAAACAAACACAGGACTCGGCTGGATGCGACTCAAGTGGCTGCATTGCAGGCCAAGTTGGCAGAGCTGGAAGCAGAGAAACTCCAGCTGTACTCTCAGATCGACGTTCTCAGCACCAAGTTGGTTGAGGCCAATGGTAGGCTTGCAGAGGCAGACCGAAGGGTGGCGGCAGCAGACCGTAGGGTTGCAGAAGTGGAATCCTACGTGCCCAAAACCCCGCCAAGACAAAGTCGCAAACGTTAGTTGGCCACATGGCACGGGGAGTACGATCTGCCTTCGTGGGGAGGGGGAAGGCGGGGGGCAGGGGTTGACTGTAAGCAATTTGCCTTGCAGACACACAGGAACCGAATAGCGTTCCTCTTCTGTCAGCTGCGATGGGGTCGCGACAAAAGCGCTTTGCGTGTCAGGGAGCAGCATCATTGTCCATGCAAGAAATGCAGCACCAATGGGCTATGACTTGTCAAACTAGTTTGGTGCCTAACCCAGGACACAGTAGGTGTTGGATCCCTGTGAATCTCAACCCTTGCAAACTAGTGTGTATTCAGGGTGCTGTGCAAGTCAAGCTCCAGGTCCAGCCTTTCGACCTACAACATGCTGCTGCAAGGGTCCCGGACTGGGGCAGTTGAGGGTCTAGGTTTGGGGTTCACATTTCAGGGTTTCACTTCGACGACAGCCATGCCTCATCGGGAATGTGACCAAGCGCTGAAGAAGTGCGAGCCAGCACTGAGGAAGTGCTTATTTTATGCTTGCGGCACTGAAGAAGTGCCGCAAGCTGTTTTTTTTCCTGAGGGTTGAGGTTTACGACTTGTAGAGACTCAGGCCTTGAAGCCTAGTAAGAAACTACTATCCAACTAGCAGATAGAGGGATGTTTCGCATTTGGGGTCTTGTGTTCAAGTGGTGTTGCCGAGTTGCAGTGTGAGAGAGCTGGGTTCTGCAGCTTGCCAAGGCCTTCCACTGGCGCTGCAGTGTCCGTTGCCGAGTGATTGAGCATTGACAGCACATGCAGCAGCATTTGTCAATTGTTGAGGAAGACACAAATCTATAAAGCTGTCTCTTTTTGCAGCTCCGCTTTTTGCCTTGCATTGGGGACCCACTCAGAAGAAGATTTCTAGCTGTAGCTCCTGCCACCATGACCGCGTTGGTGGGCTACTTCGTATCTTCCCCTGCTTACTTTGCCTTTGAGAGCTCTGAGAGCACCACGCAGTACTACACGACTATCACGGAAGCTGTGGCGCGTTGCAACAAGTGGTGTGCACGAAAGCAGCTTGGAGGATAATGGTATCCAGTGTCAAAGAATTTATTACTTGTACACATAGAACCATCGCCCATCATGTTCCACATGTCCTTTCACTCGTGATACTAGAGTCTGCAAGTACCAAGGGCAAAGGGCCACATCTCCGATCCCAGTGTGCATGAAGGGCAGCGACCAAAGAAGCGCAATGTGTCGGACATATTCATGGCCGGGGAGATCCTCACACAGCGCGCGTGGCACGTCCAGCAGTGCATTGTCGTCGACCAGCAAAAGGCAATGGCACAGAAAGCTCTCCTCCCCACTGCCACCGGGTTCATCGTGTACGGGATGAAGCCACAGAAGAAGGACAGCGACATGTTCCTGTTCCACGACTACCAGTGCCACATGTCCGTCAGGGAGGAGAAATGCTCAGAGGGAAGCAGCGGGGACTCTGATCGTCGCGATGGGGAGGACCCAAAGGCCTTGACCAACTCGCCAGCCAGCGAGTCTGCTGGGGAGCCGGCTGGGGGGTCCAGCACAACGCCTGGGGGGCAGGTCGCTCTGCCGGAGAACGCTGCTCCAGGCATCGGATCATGCACGTATGTAGGTGATGCGCGGGTAAGTAAGGCTACCTTTGAGCTTGTGCGCCATGAGGCATGTGGAAGTTCAATCGCTTGCTGCCGCCCAGTCTGCACGCCAAGTGCGTGGGGGTCGTGGAGCAGAACCTCTGCAAGAGGAAAATGGACCTGTGCAAGGATCCCAGCAGGGTCCTGTTTTTGGCACCACAGACTCTGGGCCATATGGCCTTCACGCTCATGAAAGGGGGGATGACTGAGTTCCCAAGCTGCAAGGTTCATCTCACGGGGTATTTGTTGAGGCTTTGCAATCCTGTGCAGTCTGCGAGCAAGTCAGGTTTTCCTTGGAGGAGGTTCAGTTTCGGTCTGCGGACGCTGCAGATTTCTTGTTGGTGGACAGCGACATCTCCCCTTTGGCCGCAGCTTGCTCGCAAGTCGGTTTTCGCGCTTGTGTCACACTCGTGCGGCGCGCGTTCGCGCTCGCTGGTGGGCGTATGTGAGCGTGTGAGGGTCCGTGCGAGTCTCTCTCTCTCTCTCCCTTTCTCTGTCTCTCTCTCTCTCTCTCTCTCTCTCTCTCTCTCTGTCTCTCTCTCTCTCTCTTTCTCTCTCGCTCTCTCTGTCTCTCTCTCTCTCTCTCTCTCTCTCTGTCTCTGTCTCTCTGACTATCTTTTTTTCTATTGCGCGTGGGTGTTTGTGCTTGTGTCTAGTTGTGTTTGTGTTTCGGTTTGCGTTTACGTTTGTGTGTGTGTGTGTGGCTGCGTGCAGATGTTTGCATTTGTTCGTGTCTGTGTGTGTGTGTGTGTCTGTGTGTGTGTGTGTGCGTGTGTGTCTGTGTCTGTGTCTGTGTTTCTGTTTGTGTTTGTGTTCGTGTTTGTGTCTGTGTCTGTGTTTGTGTTTGTGTTTGTGTTTGTGTTCGTGTTTGTGTTTGTGTTTGTGTTTTTGTGTTTGTGTTTGTGTGTGTGTGTGTGTGTTTGTGTGCGTGCGTGCGTGGGTGCGTGCGTGCGTGAGTGCGTGCGTGCGTGCGTGCGTGCGTGCGTGCGTGCGTGCGTGCGTGCGTGCGTGCGTGCGTGCGTGCGTGCGTGCGTGCGTGCGTGCGGGTGTGTGTGTGTGTGTGTGTGTGTGTGTGTGTGTGTGTGTGTGTGTGTGTGTGTGTGTGTGTGTGTGTGTGTGTGTGTGTGTGTCTGTGTTTGTGTTTGTGTTGGTGTTTGTGTTCGTGTCTGTGTCTGTGTCTGTGTTTGTGTTTGTGTTTGTGTTTGTGTTTGTGTTGGTGTTTGTGTTTGTGTTTGTGTTTGTGTGTGTGTGTGTGTGTGTGTGTGTGTGTGTGTGTGTGTGTGTGTGTGTGTGTGTGTGTGTGTGTGTGTGTGTGTGTGTGTGTGTGTGTGTGTGTGTGTGTTGTGTGTGTGTGTGTCGGTCTGTGTGTCCTGTGTGTGTGTGTGTGTGTGTGGTGTGTGCATATGTGTGTGCGTGTGTGTGTGTGTGCATATGTGTGTATGCATATGTGTGTGTGTGTGTGCGTGCGTGCGGGTGTGTGTGTGTGTGTGTGTGTGTGTGTGTGTGTGTGTGTGTGTGTGTGTGTGTGTGTGTGTGTGTGTGTGTGTGTGTGTGTGTGTGTGTGTGTGTGTGTCTGTGTCTCTGTGGTGTGGTTGCGCTCACCTGTCCTTTTCTGAGTCTGTGTTCTTGTAATCCAGGAGTTCATGCTTGCACCAACACAGCGATGTCAGTCTTCGGGGAGAACCGTCAAGACTCTGCGCTTCGAGATTAAGGGGAAGGTGGACCCGGACGTCCTGCGTGCCAAGAAGCAGAAGCTCTCGGAAGCATTGCAGCACTTGAGCAACAGCGCTGGTGCAGGAGAGGCAGACTGAGCGCCTATGCCGGTGGGAGGGGGTGCCTGTGGGGTCTAAGCTGGAGTCAACTCTGTCATGGAGACTTGTTGCAGGGAGTCAGACAGCTGGCCAGAGGAACAGTCCTCCCAAGCTTTCTTTTTTGAACTGGCCAGAGGCCACAGCACAGTAGCGCTTGCCAGAAGATCTACTTTCGACACGCATCACGCCGCTTCTAGCTGCTGAAACGAGTGCCAAATGACAGTCCTGCGACACTACCTCTCTGCGTGATCGTGTTCTGTGTACATCTGAACATGTTATTGCTCAGGTCACCTGTGCCCGGCGTGGCGTGCAGGAGCCACGCTTCCGACGGCCGTCGCAGAGGCTGGCTGGCAGCCTGGGACGCTCCCTGAAATTACCTCGGCGTATTTTGCAATTCTGGCGGGTAGTCTTACTCAGGGGGTTTCGCCCAATTACATGCGTAATGGTGTCCATGGTGGCTGAGCTAGCTGGGGCGTGTGTCTTCTCAGGATTACCCCACAGTCTCGCGCAAGACCCTGGGGTAATTTGCGGCTGGGCCAGGGGCAAAATTACCTTGCTTGGTCGACAGGACCGCGCGGCTCGAGCTGGCAGCAGAAAACGAAGTGGATATGTCTGACCAACAGCGTCGGCGTTTTGGCATCCTCCGGAGTGCTGTCCTGCGAGCCCGCAAGACATGGCTGGAGAAGAGCGAGCTGCCAGGACACACGTGGCCGGAAGGCCGTGTCTTTACATGTGCCACCGACTGCAGTGGC